TCTAATAATTACACAGAAAAAAATGTACATAACTTTGTTTAATTTATTTTATTTCGGGAGCCAAATTTACAATCCAAGTTTCAAAAAGCTTCCACATATAGGCAATATTTGATTAATATTAATTTTCATAACAAATCTTTATTCAGACATACTATTTAAGAAATCTATTGTAAGAGTAGATTTAGTGCTCGTGGTACTAATACAGAATAAATCTAAACGGTCGTTTTCAGAATATTCATTTTAATAACATCAAAGCACTTGGTATAAAACTATTACTTTTATAATTAGTATGATAAGTTGGAACACGGACTAATACATTTTTTCGTAGTTAGTAAGATTTTACTGAGAAGTTCTGGACTATCTATTTTACGTTGTGCGATTTTCATTAGAAAACAGATGATGTTAACTATATCTCCGCGTACGTTTAGAGGCAGCAGTAGGTGCAGCAATCCTACGAGAATTCGGCAAAAGGTAAGTTAAATTTATGATGTAAGAAAAGCAGGGAACTTTTTTGAATTTTTTTCAATATTGTTTATATAAATGGCATAGCATGAATTCTAATTTTGAGAAGCGTATTCTAGATTACTACGGATGTAAGCACAATACAATATTTTTAAAGTTTTCACTTTTCTTAATTGTTAGGCATAACGGTTAACAAAACCTAACGCTTTATAAGCATTGTCAACAATGTGATCTAAATGGAGAGTAAACAATAGTGTGTCATGAATATTCCTAAGTCATTTATTTTTGATTCATTCATCCCATTTAGATTTTTAAGTTTATAATTAAAATAAAGATTATTTCACGTACGGGAAAACGTTATGAAAAAACATTTAGATATATTTAATTCTAATTTATTATTCCTTACAATAAATACCTTATCTATTCAAACCATCCAATAAAATATATGCATCTGAGACATTTTTATAACTCTAAATTTTTTATATCATCTGCAAATAAAACAAAATTTGAGTAACAAAAACAAGTAAAATTATCATTTATAAAAATTAAAAACAAAGGAGGATCGAGTAAAGATCCTCGAGGAACGCCAGAGGGAATACTTACGCATGATGAGGAGTAACCATTTAGTACAAGCGCCTGTGTTCTATTTTGTACGTAGGACGTGAACCACCGAAATAAATTGCTATGGATTCCCAAAGCATAAATCTTCGAAATTAAAAGACAATTATCAAAGGAGTTGAAAGCCTTCCTATAAATAGTGTCTTTCTGATTACCTCTATACCCCGTTATGATTCATTAAAATTAATAAGTTAGTAACCATAGACCTACATTCCGAAAACCATGTTGTTGGAGTGTTAAATGATTGTACACCACACATTCAAAAACTTTGGCTAGCAGACACAGTTCAGAAATAGACCTATAATTTTGCACTTGACTTTTTAAACCTTTTTATAGACAGGCATTATAAAAGCTGACTTCCATATAGAAGTCAATATTTCTTCTCGTAGTGAACATTTAAATAATATGGTTATTTGTATGTATAATTAAGTAGCACAGTTTATTAAAAAAATGCTGGCAGGATATCACGGCCAGCGGATTTATTTAAATATACTGATTTTAGGTGCCGTTGTACTAATTGAGGTGTCACTTCAATAGTGTGAATATTACAGATGCTGTCGAAATGCTCGAGTAAATAAGGCTGGGACTCTAAAAAGGATGATAGAAAATATGGAGAGAAAAACTCGCTTTTGACTTCACAAGAGTCACTTGAATTATTAGCATAAGTCATAGTTGTAGGGTATGAAGTACTGCCTCGATGAATTTTAACATAAATATGAGCAAAACAACTTTGGGAACTTAACAATGGAATAGTGTTAATGACTTTATACTTACAACTTTTTTCCACCTTTTTGGCTCTGTCCTTTAGTAAGGGGGAAGTATATTCGTCACGTTTACTTCTGTAATTTTTAATTTTTTATAGTATTTAAAATTTTATTAAATGATTTTTGTTGGGGAACACCTTCGCGAGACTTGTGATGGTATTGCGATCTGCGACTTTAAAGGGCTAATGAAGTAGAAGGAGGTTTTTCTTTTCATGTCTTCGTGGCACATTTGCTTAGTATTTAATTGCGGCGCTAGAAGCTGCGGGATTGAATCCTTCACAGAACAAGTATTTGTATGGACTACAAATAAATGTTCCAGGTTCCTGGATGTTTGTCTTTTTGCAATTTGATGCTTTTAATTTATATTAAAAATAACGAAATAAAATTTAACTGCTTATTTGAAAATTAACACCTTTCTTCTAAGACACATGTTCTTCTACGTCACATCACAAGTCCACTGCTGAACATAGACCTCCCTAGATATTGCCACAACCAACAACACATTAACAGGTCTATTTGTCTTTACGCAATTTATGTATGTAAACTGCCTCAGTACTGATATAAGATTAAATCTTACCGTTGGAGATACGTTTTGAAAATTTAGTAGTAAGATAGATATTTCTAGATTTTTTTGTGAAATTGTTTTTCGTCTACGAAAAACGCAGGTTATATCTGGATATTTTTATATGTTCTTTATAAAACCCTTTTATTTATTTATTAAATCGAGTTACTAGTTCTCCGGGCATTACACGTTTATCTACTTTGATAGAAGCAGATATCCTTTTTGCCTCGGAGTCCGTTTGAGTAGATAGAGTACTACCCTGATATTTATTTCTATATATTTGGTGAACAGTAACAGTAACCCATCGTAAAAACCTAATTCTATTGTTTTAGAAATAATTCTAACTTCAGTAAAGTTCAGAAAGACGGCACGGTAATTCCTTTTACTTGGGATCCAAATCCAAACATAACCATTACACCGCTAGATCTCCATATGTATGCTGTATGCTCATTCTGTATAGATTGCACCTAAAACTAATATTGAATACGTATCTAAAGGACACCTAGGTGAATTTTGACATCATGATGTTGATTCAGTCTCCACGACAGCATAGATGCTATAAATTTCAGGGAACGTAGGGTTTCATGAAAACGTTGAAATAAATAGACTTTCTGAAAACTGAGCCGCAAAATAATATATCGTATTTCACTATAGTCAGCGTAATGTAACAGTAATTGTGATAACTAAATTTATGACATACTATTACTATATAAATTTTAATCACGTCCCAAAACTTTATTGACACGCCGAAAGTTCTTAAATTTCAATATTTTATCTGATAAGTTAATACTTTACTCTTCGTTTATACAAACTGTCCAAATACGCGAAATTGTCTTAAGTTTTCGATTAGTTTAGAAATTGCGTGAGGTAATATTTCTTCTTTAATCAAATTGAATTCAACAAATTAATTGTAATTTGTATATTCAATATCAATGTAAATGACAGAAGTACGTATAGATACAGTTGTATTTCGTATGTTGTGGACCGGAGACCCTTTTAACTTGAAAAAAGGCATTTCATCTTAGTCCTCAATGGTGACAAATCACCCACGTTTATCTTCTTAATCAGGAATAGATGTAGATGTTTATCGGCCACAGCATCCACTTACAATCAGTTGAAGTGTGCGCTGGTTTCTTACCTTAATTCTATAAAAAATATTTATTTAGAGACGGTAGAGCCACATACATAGATATATCTTACAAATTAGTCTCTACCATACCCCAATGCATAACGTTGGTGCTCGTTATATGACCTATAATTGTTTTATATTGCAAAGATTTCACGGGAAATTAATTTTTACTGTAGAGCATAAGATGAATAAGCATATGAAATTGCGATTAAAAATATCAATGGTATCTGTCCGAATAGAAACTCTTTTACTCCCGTACTTAAGTATAAATCAAGCTTCTAGCTCCTGAACCATGACAGCGTTTATCTATTTATTTACTGGATTTTTTCTAACAATAATCACATATTTATTCTGCTAAGCAGCAATGCAACGAGAGCTAGTTCGTGTTGGTCTGAAGAATTACAAAGCCATGTAAAGTAGACGATCACACAGCTAAGTTACTTCTGCAATACATAAAAATGTTTGACGACGTGAGTGACGTGTAACTAAAGTATCGGTCACAATAGATATAAAAATACTCTATTACTTACTGATTTTACATTCATTCAAGACTTTGCTGCCCATCTCTTTTTTCATTCTTCTTCAGTCGTCTTTTTCAACACCCATGGGGTGATGTAGGATAAAGGATTTTCTTACGCCGTCACAATACGGTACAATCGATCACTATTACAAGAAACCTAACAATAACCTTCTTGATTCACATTACATTACACACATTTGTCACCTTCATGTTATAAATATAAAAATTTATTTGAATAGATTTTAAATGAATTTTTTTATTCATTTTAGAATCAAGAAACAAACTTCGTAGAAATGAATTAGTTTTGCGTCAGTAACATCAGAATGACTATGATTATTTTTCAACAGATCATAAATTAATTTTCCAAAAAAAATTCGCTCTGAAATGAATCATCCACTGTTAGAATTTTACGCTCCCCTTATTTTACGCTTATAAGAATGTTAAAATTCAATAAGCTGTGAAATTTAACTGTGCTGATAATTTCTTTTACTATTAATAAAAAGTCATAAATCGTATCATCAACTTCTTAATATTATTTCTATCGTCAATATTTATGTTATAACTTTTTGTGTGTGAATGTGAACACGGTGAATAAATACTTTATCTATCACCGTTGAGTTCCAATAAAACGGATAAATTAAATTTTTCTTTTATAAATATTATATTAAGTGCATGTAAAAAATATCAAATGAGTAAATAAAGTATATCCTTTGATTTTTTACGTGAAATATTTTGATTTATTCAAAAACTTTTGAGACGCTTTTAATTTATTTTTAATTAAAGGCCTTATTTTACCTATTAGTATGTATGTATGTAAGAATGCGCGGATTTAATGAAATTTTATTATTCAGTTTTCAACCACAAAAAAAAAACAATACCATCATGACTACTATAACCTAGTTTTTATTATGCTGAGTTCCTTCAGAGATAATCAAAGCTTAAGAGATGAACAGGTTCGTGGCCTCGCAGCACGACTCTTCGCCGCGAAAGTCGCGCTCAAAAAGATGGAACGACACGTACAACATTACTGCAATGATAAAAGCAAACGCAACTTCGAAGGACATTTTGCTTAGTGTTCATGGTTTATCTGAAAGCGTGACTAAGGACGACGTCATTATATTAGTTATCGGTAACAATATAATAATATAACAAAAAAAGATCCCTACGGTCTATTATGCAACTTATGCAATGCGTGTTCTCACTTCAAACAGTGTAAAATACTATTGTTAGCGAGTGTAATTGTAACGTGACTTTTAACTATATAAATTCTCAGTTAAAATTAATTGTAAAACAGTATCTAAAATTGTAAATTCATAGGCTTCTAGGAACATGATAGTTTTAACATAAGACAATGTATGTACAATATAGTAATATATTGTATATACATCGCAGACGACACGATAAACGTAATAAAAGCAAAGGCAATAATCCTATTGACTCAATGGCAAATAGTGTTTAAGAAAATATTATACGTTGGTTAACTTCCAATGATTTGAATTCAATGTTAGCAAAACAAAAATAATGCAATTTTGATCATATAATACTATTAAATAATCGTTAAATATCCATTATAATAGCGAAAAAATAGACGAATTAGATACTTTTTAATTTTTAGGAAAACATATTGAAACACACATTAACTGGAAAGAACATATCGGTTTCATATGTAAAAAGCTTGAACGTTTTCCATTTGCTATAAAGAGAATACAACAAACTTTCTCATTTAAAACTGCACCCACGACTTACCACGGATACGTATCGTCAACACTTTACTATTTTTAAATTTATTTAGAGAACCCCAAACAAGTTTACCATATATCTTATGCTAAAGCTAATGTTCTATTACAATTTTTCGTTTATCACAAACTCAACGACGGTGGTCACACATAAATATAATAACTATGACAGAGACCCTACTTTTATAAAAGAAACGTACCTTAATTTCAAAAAATATTATTTTAACATGTTACGCATTAGAGTGTCGTGTGTTAGTGTGTTAGCATATGTGCGCTCGCATGCGCGTGTGTGTCTCTATGCATGTGTTAATAGTTAATGTGTTCAGGTCTTTAAAGAGACATAAAGTGTTTAACAGCAAGTTACTAGCTGTCTGTTATAGGATCTGGTACTGCAAAAAAATTAAATCTATCGAAATAAATTTTTTGTTGTACTCGTATGTGTCAACTATACGATGAAGGGGCGATCGGATTGTCTGAGATCTTGGTAGCAAAGAGTGAGTGAGGATGCAAAGAACACATACGTGCCCAAGGTGGTACGGAGAAACTAATACTATTAATTATATCTGTGCAATCACACTTGTTATTGCACAGATCATAATGTAAACTTACCTCAAGTTGAATGCGCCTGACCTTAAGTCTAAAACCTCATATTTTGTTAAAAGGAGCACATACGACAAACGTTTATGGTGATATTTATAATTAACGCGACTCAAGAACTTTTTTGTTTTAACTTCAAAAACGTAAACGTAGTACTAAGCGTTTTATTTACATTGTTGTTTATAAGATGTCTTAAGATGAAAACAAAGTTTTGAGCATAAAATCAAGCTAAGCAACGGGCGCCTTATCCTGACGTGGCAGCACGTACGATTCGTGCTCTGCATCCAATCGTCTTTTACCGTCTACTATCAAGTGACGCTGAAATATTACAAATTGCAAATGTTTTATCGTATGCTGAGTTAAACAGGATAGCAGGTTGAAATGGGACAGTAAGAATCAAATCTTTCATATTGCTCAAAGTACTTTTGTGATTTTGTAGGAGGCTATATTCAAAGACTTTAGGAAAATGACTTAATTTAGTCAGGATTCGAATTCGCTCGTGCTTTAAAAAAGTATGACTTATGTATTCACGTCAATCGATAGTATTTTTATGATAATATAGGTATGTAGATCGATTTTTGTAAAGAAAAATCACGCCAAACAAAGAATATTTCTACTTATAATTTTTTTAAATGTGTGAAAAATTCTGTATATTATATTTATTAGTCGACAAAATTCAATTATACCTCTCGCACATTTCACCGGAAAGCAGCAGCGCACTAATTATTGCGTTCCAGGTTAAACCGCAAGAGAGCCGGCATTTTCAACATATACAACAATACACAAATAATCGGCTTAATATAAAAATAACCGAGATGTGAGTCTTTGTTTTATTCAAAAAATATAATTTCTAGTTGTTTTTGTTATGCTCAAAGGCAAGGAAGCCAAAACATCACAGGGAAATTTTGCGTTTCTGGATTATTACGTAAATCGGACAAGCGTAAGGAAAAATCTGACAAGCGAGACTTTTCAACAATGAAATTTTTCTGAAAGGTCTTATATTTTTTTTTTGGTTTTACTAAGTATTAAAAACCCAACTAAATTACATATCATTAATGTGATAAAAATTTTTGAATATACACAGTTATATTAACATTATATTCTGTGATTTGAACCACCGTTATTCGACCAGATAAATTTAAAAATAAAAATAATTTATATTAGGTGTTTATTACGCAAAATAATATTAGGAAAATGGAACAAGCGAAAATACAAACGAATCAATCATTCGTCTTCTAAGGACTCTGATAAGGATTCGGGTTAGTAAAGTTTTATCTCTAAATACTATGAATACCAAATTAAACACAATATAATATGGAATATTGTATTTGAATGTTACCTGGAGGTCACGAAACGATTTTGCACCTATATGTATAAAAATGTATTCAGATATAAAATAATATATTAAAACAATTGCCCTGTGTTTACACATGGCAGGTAGATTATATGTTATTATTCGAGAACTTTGAGTAACGATCCAAGAGCAAGTCTTACCGACACTATTCCGATGATATCCCGGACGTCAGTCTGAGCGAGATTAGAATGGCTCTCCAGCACCTTGAAAACGGCAGGGCCCTTGGCGAGGATGGAATTACAGCGGAGCTTCTGAAAGCGGGTATAACACCGGTACTTGAAGTCCTTCAGAAGCTCTTCAATTCCGTCCTCCATGGTGGCACTACTCCGGAGGCGTGGAGCAGAAGTGCGGTGGTCTTGTTCTTTAAGAAAGGCGAAAACACTCTCTTGAAGAACTACAGACCCATTTCCCTTCTGAGCCGCGTCTACGTGCTGTTTTCGAGAGTCATTACGAATCGTCTCGCACGCAGACTCGACGACTTCCAGCCTCCCGGACAAGCCGGTTTCCGAAAAAGGCTTTAGTACCATAGACCACACACATACCCCGCGGCAGATTGTACAGCAGACCGAAGAGTACAATCTGCCACTTTGTCTGGCGTATGTGGACTATGAGAAAACCTTTGATTCCGTCGAAATTTGGGCGGTGCTGCAGTCTCTTCTGAGGTGCCAAGTTGGCTGTCGGTATATCGAAGTGCTGAAGTGTTTGTACAGTAGGGCTACGATAGCTATCCGAGTACAGAACCAGGGTTCGAAACCTATCCAACTGCAGAGAGGTGTAAGACAGGGTAACGTTATATCCCCGAAACTCTTCACCGCTGCGTTGGAAGACGTTTTCGAGCTACTGGACTGGAAAGGATACGGTATTAACATCAATGGCGAGTACATCACTCACTTTCGACTTGCCGACGATATAGTCCTTATGGCAGAATCCCTGGAGGACCTTAGCACTATACTTAATGACCTCAGTGGTGTCTCCCAACGGATAGGTCTTAATATGAACATGGACAAAACAAAGATCATGTTTAATGTCCATGTCACACCTATGCCGGTAGTTGTTGGGAGCACTTTGCTCGAAGTTGTTGACGAGTACGTTTACCTGGGACAAATAGTCCGACTAGGTAAATCCAACTTCGACCGAGAGGTCAATCGACGAATTCAATTCGGCTGGGTAGCGTTCGGGAAATTACGACAGATCTTCTCGTCAAGTATTCCTCAATCTATGAAAACTAAAGTGTACAACCAGTGCGTGTTGCCAGTGATGACTTACGGATCTGAGACGTGGTCCTTCACTGCTGGCGATATGAGGACGCTCAAGGTCGCTCAGCGAGCTATGGAGAGGGCTATGCTCGGATTTTCTCTGCGTGATAGACTCAGAAATGAGGATATCCGTAGTAAAACCAGAGTGACCGACATAGCCCAACGGATTAGTAAGCTGAAGTGGCTATGTGCCGGCCATATAGCTCAAAGAACCGATAACTATGGGGAAGAAAGGTTCTCGAGTGGCAGCCGGTAGGCGTATTGTAGGGCAGCCCCCCACTAGATGGAGTGACGAACTGGTAAGACATGCAGGAAGTTGATGGATGCAGGTGGTTCAGGACCGTGCTTTGTGGCATTACTTGGGGGAGCATGTTCAGCAGTGGACTTGTGAAGGGCTGTAATGATGATGATGATGATTCGAGCAGTATTTTAACTGCCTTCGATTTTAATATCTACTCTGAATAATATTCGTTATTGTTTTAGATAGTGAAAACCTTGATAAAACCGATATGGAATCCTTGAATTCGGAGTATCGAAGCGACAACACTAGTGCATCAACTAATGAGGAGACAAAATATGACTCTGAACAAGAACCAGTAGTGTTAGCCTGACATCCTTACTGCCTTAGGTGAGACGACCAAAGAGACACCGAAGGCTCGAAAATCCATGGCATGTTAGCTCAGCTATGGTTGCCTATAGCTCGAAAAGGCACAAGAGAAATTACTCTAACATTATTTAATACCAGAAAATTCCGCGTTATTTCAAGCGCCAAAACTAAACCCTTAGATTTCGAATGCGTTATCTGAGGGCACCAGGACTCGAGCCATAGAGTCGAGGTCGTAATCGAATTAGTAAAATTAAGGTTTTTACCTATCAGATTCATAATACTTATTTGTATTAATGTAAGTTTATGGAAGCTTCGTCTGACATTTAACAACAAAGACGTATTCAATTAATGCGGAATTTTGTAATACTGTTGTATACTCTAAATATAATATCGTGAAAATTTCACCGTGAAAGCTACTTAAATTCAGCCGGTATATTTCCACCAAAATATCCTTACTTTTTATAGGTTTCACAGGGAATTATAACTGTGTTTGTTCAATCGACAGTATGTTTGCTTCACTTAGCATACATATGGCACTGCTACGATAATACAATGACAGCGGCATGCCTCTCCTTCTCTTTTGTTGCTAGATCAAAACTACCAATAAATCGATTACCAACGTATTACCCGTTACTCTCTCTGCTCCCTCACGATATTGTCATCAAAAGACCACTACTGAACGTGAAAATATTTGCCATAGTTCTCTCTCTTTTAGCAAGTGCGTGGGAAATATTTTCACCCAAGTAGATAAAGCTTTGTTGAATATAATCGATGGTTTAATTATTCCCTAAGCAAGTGGTAAACGTATATAAACAAGAATCAATTACCGCGTATATAAAAGTTCATTACTTTGTAACATCTGTATCGATTTTGTCGCATACTCACATTCACAAATGGCCGAGCGGATCATTGACCAGCGTGTAAAATTGGGACTACAAGTGGGATCCTACTCGCTTACCGTGTGTCTTTAAAGACACACGGTAAGCAAGTGTCGGAACGGTGTCTTGATAGATACGATACGTAAGCTCCCTAACTATTAGTTCGTATGTAATGAAATATAATAATCATCATCACATGATTTAGAAAACGATTTAGTTGGTCGTTCGAATAAGTCCTAGACCTATTTTCTTTTTCTTTTTAGACATATAATAAAGTAATAAAAATGAATAAATAAAAAAAGAGTATATCTATGTCGATGGCGTCACAGGCATTATGAACTAAATCACTATAGATTAAATACGTCATGTCTTGTGAAGTAACATCACAGGTAATACTACTATAATAGTGATGTCATTTTTCTAGTAAATCAGAAAATGCGAGCGTACTTACTTTCACATTTGGCATAGTATAAAGAGACCAAAGATGACCACTTGCGATTTCTATTTACATGCATGAATTTCTGCGTACACGCAATATCTTTCAATAGATTTGTCCCTTTTTGCCTTATTTGAAAAAAAAAACGAGGCAACTAAAAGGTCCTTATAAGTGAAATTGGCGTTTTGTACGGGAGGAATATAAATTCATTTTTTTTGTAAAATATATTTAATTAATCAAAGTATGCACCGTTGTTATCTATGCACTTTTACCATATCATAGGTAATTCATTGATCCTTTTACTAAAAAAACATGGGGGATCAATAAACTCCTTGAAGGCAGTTTGGACTACCGCATCGGAGTTGATTTTTTTTTCTTAGTGGTTGTTTGTTGTGCAGTGTGTGGTCTTGCGTTGTCGTAAAGCAGCAGTGGCCTAGATCGATTAACCAATCTCAGTTGTTTAGCAGTTAGTTCTTCCTTCATGGTTTTTAGTTGCTGATAATAGATATCTGCTGTAATCGTTTGGCTAGATTTTAGAAAGCTGTAGTGAACGACACCGGCGCTAGTCCACCAAACACTCACTGGTAATTTTTTCTGAGTCAATTTTCGTTTAGGTCAGGATTTGGTTGGGTCTCCAGGGGTTTAGGCATTGCGACGAGCGCTTCCGATTATCGTACAGTATTCATGCTTCATCACAAGTCATGATTTGATTTAAAATCCCTTTACTTTTGTGTCAGTTGAGCAAAGTAACATAGCAGACGACGCGTGTTTGCAAGTTCTATTCACTCAATTCATGAAGTACACATCGTTTAAGTTTTTTTTACTTCCTGATTTGCTTCAAGTAGATTAATACAATTTAATTACTTACCCCGTAACCTGCAGCTATCTCTGATGTGCTTTGTGACACATCAGAGATAGCTGCACTTCCACAATAGCCTTTCTTCATTTTCCACTTTGGTCTTCGGCCGTCCGCGGGGTTGGTTCTGAAGGTCGAAATTTCCAGAACGAAAACGTTGAAACCAAAAACGTACCGTGCTTTTTTTTGCGACACCAGCGCCGTACACATCATTAATCCTTCAAGCTGTTTCTGAAGCACTGGTGCCACAGTAGAACTCGTACTCGTAAATATACCGATATTTCATGTTTTCCACTGTGCGGTAATAAGCGACGCCAAAGAAAAAAATAATGAAGGAAAAACAAATGAATGACTGTATCTAAAACTCAAATGTAAAAGCGAAATGAATTTATAAATTTGAATTTGGAATTCCTAACCAAAGGGGAGATTATTCAAATCAAAATGGTCAGTACGACAAAACGATAATTTCATATGTAAGGACCCAATATATTGACTCAATTTATGTAAAATTGGAGCTTTTTTCTATGCATACGTAAGTGTGTATTTACTCTAAGAATAAACTCATTTTAAAATATCATAAATCGGTTAAACGTCTAGAATCAAAATATGGTCTAAAATAATAAATTTATATTTTTTTAATTAAATAACAAATTATTAATGTTCCTTATGTTATTTCTGTCAGGTTTGATATATTATCGTCATTTAAAATGGTCATGTAGAGTTTAAAAGTCTGGCTTTATTAGCTAATATTATGTATGATAATTAACTCGGCACAAAACCATGTGAGTGGACGTAACGTGCAGAGTGAATTTTAGGCGAAACCGTATCGTGGTCACGTAGATTTTTAGAGGGTGAAGCAGGCGCGGGCGGGCGATTGGTGCACGGAGCCCAGTTCCAGTTTATGTTATGTTTATTATTATTATATTGTTTTTGTAGTTTCTTTTGTTAATTAATGTATTGTCGATTAATACAACATTTTTAAATATATAGAAATTATACGAATCCGATACTTCGATTTATATAGTGAATATCGATATAAAAATATCGACAATGTATAGATACACGTATTTAAGAAAATACCGATGTTTCGACAACGATGTTTTTACCCAAGGTTATCGACAAGCTGCAGATCGCACTTCACACAGTGTACAAATATATTGTGATTGATTGATATACCAGTACCGTTTATTAATAAAATAGGTTCAGGTAATAATTGGGTGCACCAAAAGACCCTCCTCGTGTGGCGATACCAATAATATATTATAGACAAGAACAATGTTACATTAGTAATTTATAAATTTTTAGCCCCACCGTCTTGGACTAAGGTGTCCAAATAAAATAATGATGAAGTATTTTTCAGCATCAAAGTAAACTAGGCATTTGCGTAGTTACACTCAAGGGTAATTTACCAGTACATCTGTTACATACGAGTTCCCTCACACCTACAACATATTTTTACCTATTAGTTTGTATTATTAACACACTTAGTATATTTAAATGTTTATTACGTGCTACTTACTCTTGTAAATACTAGGACTAAGGAAGCATCCATACCGGATTTACCTAAAACCGCATTTTATTAAAATGAAATTTTTTTGTAAGGAAATATATCAATATTTTTTTAATTTTGTTACTGTAAGTGCGTAGGAGTAGGATCATATGCCGTTATAATTAGCAAATAAATTACTGCAGACCACTAATAACTATATTTATTAACACGCAAGTACAAGTTAGACGAGAGTACACAATAGTATATAATTGCATTGGAAACATTGCTTATATAGGTGAAAATAATTAATAATAATTAAAATCGCAATATGTTGTTTATCTTAAACTACACACTGATTGGTCGTATTCACAGCGAACATAATACATGCGCAAGCGGCCATTGAACTCAGCCCATACCGCCATCGATGAGAACAATAGGTACACAGGCGGCCATCAAACTCTGCTGGCGCTACGACCAATGGGAACGCATGCGCCCTAATGAGCGGCGTTGCTTAGTGATGACGTAGGATATCGTCCGATGTATGACGTAGGGGTGGCGTTATGTTTAGGTCCGTTCTAGCTACTAATTTACTCGCCACACTACTCCCCCCGTTCAGACCGTAACTACGGGCGATAGTAATCCGGAAATCTTACTGTGTGTCCGCTTCTGGTCGTTTTGGTGGTAGTTTGACCATGGTCACTTAGGTTTTGTGGAATGGTCTCTGCGCTCTCTCTGGAAACATACGCTGGCTTCAGGCGGTCTATTGAGATCCTTTGTGTCCTGCCCTGGATTTCTACGTCGTATGTTTTGGAGTCACGTCTCAGGACTTTGAAGGGACCTGAGTAGGGTGCCTTGAGTGGTCTTCTTGCGGGACCTTGGCGGACGAAGACATGCGTCGAAGTTCTGAGGTCTTTGGGCACATAAAATATTCGACTGGAACTGCCACGCTAAGACGTAGGTTGTGGGGTCAATCTACTGACGTGCGCACGCCAGTCGACCAGCCACGGTGGTCGAGTCCGTCTCTGTATTGGAATTTGGGGAAAAGAACTGTCCAGGCAAACGGAGTGGTTCACCGTAGACTAGCTCTGCTGCCGATGATTGCAAGTACTCTTTCCAGGCGCTGCGGATACCGAGGAGGACCCATGGTAGAACTTCAACCCAGTTTGAAGACGAGTGGTAAGTGATGGCGAACTTCAATTGGCGGTGCACTCGTTTCACGAGACCATTGGCAGCTGGGTGATAAGATGTAGTAGTGTGGTGTGTTGCACTGACCAGTGCAGCGAGCTCCTTGAAAGTGTGCGATAGGAACTGTCTGCCGCAGTCTGTGGTGATGTGTTCTGGACATCCGAAGCGTGAAATCCATCCATTTGTTAGAGCGATGGTGCACGTCTCTGCTGTCATGTCCTGGAGTGGGTACGCCTCAGGCCAACGAGTGAAGCGGTCGACAATCGTGAGGCTGTACCTGTGCCCAGAACATAATGGTAAGGGACCGATCAGGTCAAGATGTATATGCCGAAAGCGTGCTGAAGGCTGAAGTTTATTCACTATTTTGTGACTAAGGTACTTATCGCTTTCAATTTCCACGAGTATGTAGTACAATGTAATACGAGTGCTCTCTATGATGCGCTGCGGACGATTCAGGACGATTGACGGAGCGAGGAAGCGGTGATATGCTCCTGTTTGGCCGGTCCGCGCGCGATAATTGAACAATACTTATTTGATATTTCTTAATAAAATTAATTATACTCTTTTATTGACAAATAAACCCATAATTCTCTAATGTATTTTTTAGTGAACAGATAAGCAGAATTTAATTGAAATTGTTCTAATATACCTCAAATTGTAGATTTTGAGGAAATTTGCGATCTTTTTCTATCGAGTGAAAATGTGTCAATCGTGTTTTAGTCGTTATAATTCATTAAGGAATATCTCTAACTTTCATAGTGATTCAGAAAACAATGTGAATTTGTAGTTTTTAATGACAAAAAATTGATTTTCTGCGCACCTATAAAGCATGAAAAATCTGCTGTTGGCGTCCACTTCACCTTAAATAAAATACTTTTTGACGCCTTGTAATTACCAGTGACGCATTAAGAGCGTATATTTAAAGGAGATGGTCCAAATTTGTATGAAGCGTAGGCCTGGTTTTGTACAAGTAGGGAAATAAATTAAAATAATATATTACACCACCTTTGGTTATTCAAATCTACGAATTTACATTTATGTCAGTGGTATTAATATTTTATTCTTACCAAAAACACTAATTTTTGTCGTTATGACTTAAGCTTTCAAACGTCATGTGGTTATTGATTCATAGTGATGACGATTCTACTAATGTCCGATATCAATGAAATCAAAATCTTACGTAAATTATGAAGTCCATAAAACAAAAGCCGAGTCAAACAAGCAATAAGAGATCCAAAGTCCAAATAAAAAAAATCGCTAAAGAAATCCAAAAAAAAAACACAATAAACGCATTGATGAATGCGCAATTGCACGAATGAGATCGGAAAAAACATGACACTACCTACATTATTTCATGACTCAATTGGACTCAAGTCACTTTAGAGACATGATATTTGGCATATAATTTTATAACTGGAAAGGCGCCATCTTGTAAAATCATCAAAAGTTGGGTTTACATTTTTATTTTTAGCAAATCATTTAGTTTGATTTATTCTCTTATTTTATTTTTCTCTGAATTTTTTGCTTTTTTTATGGTGTAGTACCGTGTAGTTTGGGCCTGAAATGGATCGTACCCTTACGCAAGTCAAAATCGCTCTGGAACGGCGTAATATTGAAGCACAATATTATTAATTACACAATATAATAAACACTATAATATTTTCTGTGTGCGTAATTGCTCGAGATGGGGCAAGCGCAAGGTTACTAGTTGTATCTAGCACGAATCATTTTGATACTATTGGAACTAAAAGAATAAAACAAGTTCCAAATAATAGCTTATAAGATCGGAGCTAAGAAATAGTGTATAGAAGAATTATTATCCGATCTAGCCCTGAACTCAGCTCAGCTCAGTTACTCGCGAGCTCTTGCATAGCGTAGTCTACTGTGTACGGATAAATTTACCCTCAATATTAAATAATTAAGAATGTATAAATGCGATAATTGTGATAAGTCCATAACAAAAATGTCACCTAGGCTTGAGTGCAACAAATGTGGAAAAATAGTACACGCCAATCAATTATGCACAGGCTTATCTTCTAAGCAGTTATCAGCTCTGCGCAATGCTGAAAACCTGGAGTGGATATGTGAGGATTGTCGTAAAGAATCGCCTTATCGTAAGTCTTTCATAATTCTGGAGAACGATGACGATGATACTGATTTGACAGCGATGAGTAAATTACTTCGTGATATCTCACTTGAGGTAAAGAAAGCAGTGAAGATGGAACTGGCTTCTGTGAACGAATCGTTAAGCTCATGGTGTATAAAAGTGGATACTATAAATGCTTCACTGGCAATCCTAACTGAGAAAGTTAAAGACTTGGAGAAGAAAAACATGTACTTGACAAATCAAAATACCCACTTGGAATTAAAAGTTAATGCTATAGAACAACAAATCAGAAATATGGAACAAAAACAGTTGGATAATGTACTGGAAATAACAGGAATTCCCGAAGATAAGGACGAGAACTTGGAAAAACTTTCAAGTAAACTAGCCTCGAAACTAAACATAGAGAAAGGTCAAGTGTCAATGGTGAAGAGACTGAAAGGCAGGGACGGTAAATAAGGTGTGATCCAGGTAGTATTGCAACAAGAGGAGCAGGTCGACCAGTGGATCCGCGCTGCACGAACGGAAACAATTGCTATGGAAGATATAACTCCAAATGTGATGCAGCAAAAAACTTATGTGAAAATCGGAATACATATTTCCTGAAAACAAATCTATGTTATTTAAAAAACCTACTAAGCGCGATATACTAACTATTATAAAAAGTTTAAATGCAAATAAATCGGCTGGTAATGATGGAATCCGATGTTTTGACGTTAAGATGCTGAGTGACAAGATTGCTAATACTGTTAGTTAACCAGATAAACACTAGCATAGCAGTAGGAAAATATCCACAAGAATTGAAAACTGGCACCGTAAAATCAATTTATAAAAAGGGATCACATAGTGAGTATGATAGCTATAGGCCTATAACAATACTGTCAGTCATAGATAAGGTAGTTGAAAAATATGTGGCTCAGCAAATTCACAATTTTTATACTAGAAACGATATATTATCAAATGCTCAATACGGCTTTCAATCTAAGAAATCCACTACTATATTGCTGTCTAAATTCACGGACGAAATAAACCAACACCTGAATGATAAAAAACATGTCATATTATTATTCATTGACTTTAGTAAGGCATTTGATACTCTTAGGCATGACATTCTTATAAAAAAACTTGACAATATAGGTATCCGCAGGCCATTATTACAATGGTGCCAAGATTATCTCAACGATAGAAAATACCGGGTTAAGATCGGCAATGATTTCAGTGACGAAATATTTGTAACTACTGGAACAGCACAAGACTCCATGCTCGGACTCTTGCATTATCTAGCATACGTGAATGATATGGAAAATGTAATAAAACATTGTTCCATTTATCAATACGCGGACGATACATGTCTTATAACAGTCGATAAATATCTAGATAAGACCGAACACCTTTTACAAATCGACTTCAATAACTTATACAAATGGTCTCATGATGTTGATTTAGTACTGAATGCTAGTAAAACTAAAATTATACATATTCGATCTAACTACCTACGAATTTTTGATAAGAAAATCGAAGTAATTGCGCATAGTCATCAGTGCTTGCATGATTTTCAAACAAATAGGACCGGGTGCAAATGTGAATTTTTAGAGCAGGTTCCTCGTTAAAAATATTTAGGACTAGTAGTCGATAACAGATTTAACCGGGGTTATCACATTGACACAATATGTGAAAAACTGAGAGCAATGCTAGTCAAATTTGCTATCTTGAAATACAATTAAAATATTACTAAATTTATATAATGCACTCGCAGAGTCAATCATTTCATATGGAATCACTAGCTATGGTAGGACGTTTAAAACATATTTGGACAAAATATACAGCCTACAACTTCGGCTTTTAAAAATAATAATACCTGATAAAATTAAAAAAATCAATCTGTTTCGGAGACGATGTATTAGCTTTATTTAAATATTGTGAGATATTGCCTGTTCATATTAAAATAAAAATGTGGCTATTAATTGAACAATTTACGAACAAAGAAATACAAATAAAAGTGAATCATAAAACAACGACACGGAAAGTAACTCAATCAAAACTAGAATTACCAAGAGTATTTAATACCAACCCTCGTTAATGATATACCTACTAAATCAGATTAGGAATAACAGACAAAAACTATAAAAATAAATATAAGCAATACTTTAATTCTTTACTTTAATAACAAGTTGTCTAATTTTAATGAAATCAAACCTAACATAATATCATATCGATAAACGAAACATCCTGTCTTTAACACACTCAAGTAGCATCAGCCGGCTGTCCGCCAGCCGTGCCGAGCTGCTTATCTATAACCGGTTCCTTTATGTCCACACATCCTGTCTATAACACACTCAAGTGGCATCAGCCGGCTGTCCGTTAGCCGTGCCGAGCTGCTTATCTATAACCGGTTCTTTTATATCCATACATCCTGTCTATAACACACTCAAGTAGCATCAGCCGGCTGTCCGCAAGCCGTGCCGAGCTGCTTATCTACAACCGGCTCCTTTATGTCCACTTGTATGTAAACACTATACTTTACTCTGTTAATACTATATTTGATGTTCTTATTAAATAATAATACGTATAAACTAATGTCAACAGATTGCTCAAAAGTGTCTCAACATCCAGACAAACCCGTAAAGGTAGGTATTTTTTCTTATATTAAATAAATTCAAAAAAAAAACTATGTATATATCATTTTATTCTTTGAGTAAATTGAAGTCGGTTTTTCTTTTTTACTCTATTGAGTAGACTAAAGAATGTCACAACGCCAAGTTTATAATATGTAAAGTAGATTTCTTTCGAAATAAATTTATTCTGTAATTTAATCTAATTAACAATTTCATTGGTGTCGGCAGGGATCGAACCCTGGTTGCTCGTATTTGGGGCGAGCACTTCGCGCTTTAGGTACCATGGCTCATATCTTTTTTGTTTTTATTTTGTAATAACGTTACTTCCACACTAAGAATGTTTCCTAAGTATATTGTGGAGGCAGTTAACATCATCATCATCATCATTACAGCCGCGATAGTTATATGTGATGGACATATATTTTTATAAACAAAAGTTCCAATTATATGTTCCAAAAGGACACATATTCCTTACATAAATACAAAAACTTGTTAAAACCATTTTTGCTGGTGACACCTGATGGGTACATTTTAGACTGCTTTGGCCCATACAAAGCTACCACAACTGATGCAGATATAATGAAGTCTCTTCTCAGAGATGAAAACTCTCTCAGACAATACTTTCAAAATAACAATGTTTTTATTCTAGACAGGGGATTTAGAGGTTCAATTAGTTTGTTAGAGGCTTGCAGCTACAGAACATATATGCCAGAATCCTTGCTTGAGGATGAACATCAGCTCACCACTGAGCAAGCTAACAGGAGTTGTTGTGACCATATGCCGATGGGTGGTGTAAGTTGTAAACGGGTACTTCAAACGAGACTTTAAAATATTTCGGCAAGATTTAAAAAAAAAAAAGAAAAAAGAAGAAGAGATGCATGGTGAAATGATGAAGTGAGAGAAGCTGTAAAAAAGAAGAAAAAAGCATGGTTAGACTACTTGGCCTCTAGTAACGATAAGCATATGAGAGAGAAGATGAAAGAAAGATATCATCATCATCATCATCATTACAGTCCTTCACAAGTCCACTGCTGAACATAGGCCTCCCCCAAGTAATGCCACAAAGCACGGTCCTGAGCCAATTGCATCCATCGACTTCCTGCATGTCTTACCAGGTCGTCACTCCATCTAGTGGGGGTCGCCCTACACTACGCCTACCGGTACGAGGCTGCCACTCGAGAACCTTTCTTCCCCATCGGTTATCGGTTCTTCGAGCTATATGGTCGGCCCATTGCCACTTCAGCTTACTAATCCGTTGGGCTATGTCGGTCACTCTGGTTTTACTGCGGATATCCTCATTTATGAGTCTATCACGCAGTGAAACTCCGAGCATAGCCCTCGCCATAGCTCGCTGAGCGACCTTGAGCGTCCTCATACGGCCAGCGGTGAAGGACCACGTCTCAGATCCGTAAATCATCACTGGCAACACGCACTGGTTGTACACTTTAGTTTTCAGAGATTGAGGTATACCTGATGAGAAGATTTGTCGTAATTTCCCGAACGCTGCCCAGCCGAGTTGAATCCGTCGATTGACCTCTCGGTCGAAGTTGGACTTACCTAGTCGGACTATTTGTTTGTAAGGTCCTCCAGCGATTCTGCCATAGGGACTATATCGTCGGCAAATCAAAGGTGAGTGATGTACTCGCCATTGATGTTAATACCGTATCCTTTCCAGTCCAGTAGCTTGAAAACCTCTTCCAACGCAGCGGTGAAGAGTTTCGGGGATATAACATCACCCTTTCTTACACCTCTCTGCAGTTGGATAGGTTTCGTACTCTGGTTCTGTACACGGATAGCCATCGTAGCCCTACTGTACAAACACTTCAGCACTTCAATATACCGACAGTCAACTAGGCACCGCTGAAGAGACTGTAGCACCGCCCAAATTTCGACGGAATCAAAGGCTTTCTCATAGTCCACATACGCCAGGAAAAGTGGCAGATTGTACTCTTCGGACTTCTGTACAATTTGCCGAAGGGTATGTATGTGGTCTATGGTACTGAAGCCTTTTTCGGAAGCTGGCTTGATCGGGAGGATGGAAGTCGTCGAGTCTGCGTGCGAGACGATTCGTAATAACTCTCGAAAACAGCACGTAGACGCGGCTCAGAAGGGAAATCGGTCTGTAGTTCTTTAAGAGAGCGTTGTCGCCTTTCTTAAAGAACAAGACCACCGCGCTTCTGCTCCACGGCTTCGGAGTAATGCCACCATGGAGGACGGAATTGAAGAGCTTCTGAAGGACTTCAAGTACCGGTGTTCCACCCGCTTTCAGAAGCTCCGCTGTAATTCCATCCTCGCCCGGGGCCTTGCCGTTTTTAAGGTGGTGGAGAGCCATTCTAATCTCGCTCAGACTGACGTCCGGGATATCATCGGAATAGTGTCGGATAAGACTTGCTCTTGGATCGTTACTCACACTTGCGTGTGGCTGCAACGATGATGTGTACAGCTGCCCATAGAACCTCTCAATCTCACTCAGAATCACAGGTGTCCCGGAAACGATGTTGCCACACTCAGTCTTCAGCCTTGACAGTTGGCTCCTTCTGGCAGACAGATCTCTGGCAAAGACTTTGGAGCCCTGCTTTACTTTGATCTTTGCTTTGATCGCTTCTTTAATACGAGCAGTATTAAAGTTGCGTAAGTCTCGCCGCATGCATTTGGAGATCTGTCTGTTCAGCTGCCTGTATGCTGTCAAATCTGTTGACGATTGCAGACTCATCTTCCGTCTAACAGCTATGAGATTAAGAGTGTGATCGGAGAGTTTTTGTGTTCTTCTGCGGCGGGTCTTGCAGAACTTAGCTCCGACCGCATGGACAGTTTCCACGAGCTTGTCATTCATATCGTCCACTG